TCGAACCCAGACCCTGGGTTCTCATGCTCTACCAACTGTGGGAAAGACCTCTGTTTTCAACCATAGAGAACTGCTGCCCTTCACTAGAAGCTTTAGCTACCTACATCCTGACAAGATTTCTTGACGTAATCAGTAGCGCTGGCTACATTCTCCCCTGCCCTCCTATGATATTGTTCATTTTTCTTTTCTTTTCTATTTTTAACAGACATGCTGCTCATAATAAATACAACTAAGGGTGCAGCTAAATTACTGTTTATCCATCTTTCTGTGAAACTTTGTTCCGTGTGTATTGTCTACAAAGTTGCCTACAGCTATCCACAATAAGAAAAAAACAGCAAACTGCCTGGGAAAGCAAGCCTCTCTACAAAAACAACAACCAAAAAAACACTCTCATTTAAAAAAGAAAACCTCTTTTACTGTGGGGTAAATTGAAGTCAGAAAGGCTTTGCATCATTTCTTTTGTTTTGAACTTTTTGCAAGACTCCAGCCTTGGCCTACTAAGTATTAAGCACTGCAATGCTCTGTTGGTTTTCAATAATAACTTGATAAAAATAAGAACTTGATAAAAACCATTCGCAATGGCACAGACCCCTTCAGACAACCGGGCCAGTTCCTTATGAGCTCTACTGCAGCAGTCATCACACAGTGTGAATAACCTGTTCCTCTTACAAAGGGTCTCTCATTTGTTGATATGCTTCAGAAAGGCAATTTTCCCCCAGGACTAAACCTGGAGAGATTATTTATACTACTGAGTATGCCTTACATAAATTAGGTTTTATTAAGTATGCTGTGAGTGTGTTTTATTTTTACCTTGTCAGCTACCCTGAGAGGGCTTCTGCCCTTAAAAAATACAGCCTAAAACTCTTTCTAATTAATTAAACATGCAACAGTTTGGCTTTTATTCCAATCTTTCTCTTGCCAGTAAAGATAACAATGCATTTTTTTAAATAGTTTTTATTATCGCCATAATGCTGTAATCCTTGAAAGACACTTGAGGGATGTTAAAATAACCACCATCAACAATTTATAGGGTTTTGGCAGAGCTTGTTACTGAAGCTAAATTGGAGAGCAAGAGTCTCATTTTTCACCTCTGTTAATGTGTCATACTTGCAGCACAAGAAGGCTTGCTTCAGTTGTCAACCTTTGTACTCTCCTGAACTGAGGATCAGGTTCACAGGCCATTTTACAACTTAATGATTTCAAGAACTGTGTGAGGAAATTAGCTCATCTCTCCATCAGCATTAGTTGCAAATGACGAGATCTAGTCCTGCTCTGGGATCAGAATCTGTAATTATTCAGCTATATTTATTGCTCCGAAAGACAATTACTGCAGTATCTTTAGTTATTTTGCCTCTGATCTGAAGGGTGAAAGCAATAACACCTGTTAGGAACTGCTTGCATCACATTCACTGCTAAGGGACCTCCTGCATATGAGATTTAACTGCATCTGCTCATGTAGTACACCCAAAACTCACGGCATACAAAGCCCCCATTTACAGCTTGTTGAAATGCCCTTTCTACACAGCACACACACGCAGAATCCTGCACTCTGGGTGGGTGGTGCAGTCTGCATATGGGAAAATATGATGCGAGAAATGCCATGCTATGGAAAATGCACACATTTTCTAATTCAAAGATCACTCCTGCAAGCAATTCCTTTCTTCCTTTGCCCAGGAAAGTGTAACATGTAAAAATAATGCATTCTGTCCACAGTCCAAAATAATATGTTGCATCTCAGGTTTCCCTGGTTAATCTGCAAAATATCCAGCACCATCTAATTATGTCATATAGTCAAAAGTTCTGTGCTTCAACTGAGAAATATGTTGGCAAGTGGTTTTCACGGGTTACAGGAACATAGGAAGGGGTCTTATACAGAGTCAGACCATTAATCCATCTAGCTCAGCTTTGTCAACAAAGACTGGCAGTAGCTCTCCGCGATTTCAGATGGGAGACATTCCTTACCCTACCTTGAGATACCAGAGATTGAACCTAGGATATTCTGCATGTAAAGCTCTACATCTGAACACTTAATAGTTGGTGAAAATGCCCAATTAACAATGACCAAGATCCAAATAGAAGCATAGGTTTATGCAAGAGGCTTGTCCTAGTCTAATGGAATCTACAGTATAATTTAAGATTCCCTTGCCACCCAATAGCAACATTCCCTAGGTGGCTTACAGTATCCTAGACAACATTTTAAGAAGCTTCACTTACTGATATACATGTACATGCCTCGTTCAGCTTTGCATAATTCAAGAGACAAAAAGCATAATGAAAGTCACTCCCCTCTACCTTAAGGAGCATTTGAAATACCATGAACTAGTCATGTCCCATCACCAACAGAGAATTTCCCCAAGGAAGAGACAGGCATGGTTCTTGACTTTAGCAATACCATTCCAGTGTCTCCACTTTTCCCAATTTCTGTACAAAACTTAAACCCACACAAAGAAAGGCACAGCTTCCCGAAACAGGGGCCATCAGACAAACTGAAATTTAATATCAACAGCTAATGCAAGACCAAACACTTAAAATGATTAATTTTCTGCCACACGCCACAAAGGAAGCAATTTCTCAAGATTCATAGATAACCATCACCCTTCCTTCCTGAATTAATCCATGATAAAATGTATTATATTATCATTTTGCAGCCCAGTTCCTGTTATCTTTCGTTCTCACCTTGCTCACTGTGTGGGCAGTCAGCACAAGTTACAGCTGCCCTGGAGATGATGCCAGAAATTACCTCCTAGCACCCACTGTGCTTTCTGTCTCCATCTCCTATTCACTGCAGCCTTGGAGCAGGCCAGGATGGCATAGTTAGTACTTCTAAATAGAATGTATAGCTTCTTATAGTTCAGGCATGCTAGAGATCTCCACATACAATAAAATATGCTCACTACACAGCAGTTGCTTTTAGCAACATGTATGGGGAGACTGTAACGTAACTTAGGCTCCCTATTGTATCTCCATTTCCTTATCTGTGAGTATGTGCAACAAAGGTAACCAACATGGCTCCTCCAAATGTCTCTGTACTCCAACTCCCATCAGCCCCAGACAGGATGGTCAGGGGTTCTAGGATGATGGGAGTTGTAGTCCTTCATTATCTAGGGAGCACCATATTGGCTGAAGTCAGAGAGAGAATAGACATATGCGTATAAATATACACAATCTACTTAAAACACCTGAGAGATTCAACAAGAGATCCAGGCCAGAGTTTGTGAATCACATTTTCTGCCACAGACAAATGTGTGCACTCTGTTCTCCATCTAGACTATGAACACTTCCCAATGGGGGAACCCCCCCCACCCGAGCCTCAGCTTCAGACATTCAACAGGAGTCCATAAGTACCACAATACTGGTAACCTCTCCTCCCTACCTACTAAATATCCAAAGCTGTTCCATTTAATGTATCTCACAATTAGTTCCTGGCTCTGAAAGCTGATGCAACTTCTTTTTTTATAAGTTTTTTTATTGTAGCAGACAAACATAGATATTCTTCTGTAACTTGTACTAATAGCCTGTGACCTTTGATCTCAGGTGTGCATTTTGGGTCAGAACCTTCCACCAAATGCTGGTGTTTATCTTTTACCTGAAAGTTTTGAGGAAGGTTATGCTGTAATAAACATCCTGATAAGGAAGTCTAACTTTTCCCTGCTGCAAAACCCAGAGTGCATCCTCATTGCTTCCTTCTTTAATTATAAGAGATTACTCAGGTAAAGGGCTCAGGACTTCTCTATTAACACCAGAGACTCAGGTTCCACAGTAATCATCACATCCTGAATTAATTAGCAGGCGGCATGTTAATTTAATGAAAGAGGCAGACAAGGTAACAACCACTGTGTGCAAGGAAACCTTCTTTAGTAGCTATAGTTTCTAATGTTTAGATGTTGCTGTTATTGTTAATAATAATAATAATATTTTAAACCTCATAAGTACCCGCTATCCTCCCACATCATAAGGCAACACACAGCATCAGGAACTTTAAACCCCGCTCCCCATTCTCCAAATACCAACTTTTCTGGAATAATAGCTGTCAACTTTTCCCTTTTCTTGCAAGGAATCCTATTCGGAATACGGGAATTTCCCTTTAAAAAGGGGGAAAGTTGACAGCTATGTCTGGAATGTCAGCTTCTTTCTTCATTTCAGAATATCTGATATACCTCAAGTAAGCAAAAAAACAGTAAACAAACCCAAGGTAAGTGTGTTTGTGGGGCGGAATTTTTTTTCAGAACTCAGAAACCTTCAAAGTTCTCTTTAGGTCAAAAGTTCTGCAGCCTCTCCCAGCTGCAATCACTTCCTACAGAGAGTAATTACCGCATTTAGAAGTTCTCCTAAAGGTGAGCAATCAACCTGCAACAACTGCCACCCAAAGTTTCCAAAATCAGAGAGAGAGGCTAAATCATTCCATAAAACAACATGCCGCAAATGACGAACAGGATGGAAAGCCACCCTTTAACCTATATATACACATACATGTAGATTATGACACATACATATGCACCAACATACTGTGTGTGTAGAAAAAAAAAGATTACTTGCAATGTACATAAAAAAGAGCAGGCTAGTGTATGCTTTTGGAGGTGACTTTTAATGCGTGTTTGTGGGAGGTGATTTTGGAAAGTGTTAAAAACTTCCCCAAACCAAAGCCTATGTTGCTGTTCATATCTATCTAGAATAAAACAAGTCGTATTCCAAGCTTTATCTAACAAAAGTCAATCAGGGTTCCCACATGAACAGCGTCAGCAACAGGAGGGGGAAAGCCCAAGACAGAAAGCAGACCCGAATGCAAGGGAGAGAGGGAGGAAGGGAGAGAGGAAGGGAGGCGGAGAAAGAGAGAAGAAACTCGGGATGGAAAAAGAGGGAAGGGGCTCAGAGACGGGGAGAGGGGAAAGAGCCAGAAGAGGCGGAAGGGGGACAGGGCAGCAGCAGCGCAGCCGCCGGCTTTCTAAGCCAGGAGGGAGGAAGGCAGAGCGAGGGGTTCTCCGTCTGGCCCCCCCGTTTACCTGCCGCCGTCGCCGCCGCCGCGCTTCGTCCCCAGCTGATGCCGACTCGGCCCGGGCGTTGCGCGGCTGCTGCTGCTCCTCACAGCTCCGCCCCGGCGCTCCTGGGAGCCGAGAGCGGCCGGGCCGGGGCGGGGCCTCCGCTGACGCCACGGCAGGAGAGGGAGGAGGAGGAGGAAGCGCCTGGTGCCGGCCGGAGTTGCAACTTGGAGCAGCTCTTGTCCGCTCTCCTCCCTGGCCAAGGGATGCTGAGCATGCGCGGACCCGGCCGAGCGTGCTCAGTAAGCGGCGCCGAAGTCGCCTGCCCAGTTCGTTGCCCTTCCTCGGACTTCTAAGTCACACATGCAAGAAGTAGAACGCGAGCGATCTGCTCCGGGGCAGGAGGACTCAGAGGGTTGTTCGGAGAGCAGAGGCTCCCTGCTCAGGGCTCTCGCTTTCTCGTCCCTTTGGCTGCCCGCACGAGCCTAATCTTCCGAGTGTGTTGCATGGCAAAGCATCGCTTCAGACCCCCCACCCCATAGAAAAAGAGAGAATTGGTACCCACACAACGATCATACGCAAAGAATGCGGAGGTTTTATCTAGCACAACAAAACAAGGCTTGTGCGCAGCTACAGCAGTCCATGTGTTTTAATATTTTATGAAATATTATATCTAGTATTTTATTATCCCTGTCTGTCCATGTACAGTGGTACCTCGGGTTACATATGCTTCAGGTTACAAACTCCGCTAACCCAGAAATAGTGCTTCAGGTTAAGAACTTTGCTTCAGGATGAGAACAGAAATCGTGCTCCGGCGGTGTGGCAGCAGCAGGAGGCCCCATTAGCTAAAGTGGTGCTTCAGGTTAAGAACAGTTTCAGGTTAAGTACGGACTTCCGGAACGAATTAAGTACTTAACCCGAGGTACCACTGTACCTTGGTATTTCAAGGTTCAATTTGTGATTCAATATATTTAGGAAGTGAAGACCGAGTTTTCTTTGTTCACCCAAATGTGGGTTTCTGACATTCCCTTCCTCAACCCTTCTTTTTTTTTTTAAAGAAGTTTTTCCTGTCCTGACATACAGGTTTCTGAGATGAATGAATATCTGTAGCAATAACAAACACTTTTGGAACATTAGGAGAGAAAGGATAGGTGTTCAATGTGGGCATTTGTTAGGAAGATACATAAGGAAGGAAGGAAGCTCGGAGCAAGTAGGGCTCATGTTGTTTGAGCAGAGTAAGGCAATAAATCCACTGTCCAGCCCAGAATTTCCTGTGTTATTGAAACCAGCTCTGAACAAGTTTGTTTTCTTTTTCTTTTCATCTTTGTGAGACGCAGAGTGGTGCTTTCAGCTACAAAGCTGACCTCCACATTCTTGCAAAGAATACTTTCCTCTTTGGCCTAGAATGCAGGAGTGCAGGCTCAATGGAACACCTTCTCTTCTCTTCCCATGCCCATTGTCACAGGAGTGCAGTAGAAATCCTATTTCTAAAATAAAAAGCTAACAAGCAAAGTTCACAATTCAAAGCCTGAATAGCTTCACTTCAGGCTTTCCAAAAGCAGTTTCTGAGATGTGTTTGGGCAGGATTCTTACAAAAGGCATGCTTTGCAGCTAATTACATTCCTCATTCACATAACATGGCATTCACATAACAAAACAATTATTGCTGGGATGGTTAAAGTGGGTGACCCATTTCTGTGATGTCAGTGCAAGGTTATTTCCGCCTTGTTTTTCATGCCACTCCCACTTTTCTTCTTAGTTCCCTGTCACATACCAACCACCTTAGGTGATGACCTCTGTTAGGCTAGAAAACGCCTTCATTTATTTTTGGCACACACAGAGGCAATCACAGAGCATCTTGTTAATGGGAACTTTACAGGACATAGATGGTCTTTGGTTATTGTTATTTTCCCTTGTGTCAATTGTGTATAAATTTACATAGATTTTGCTCTTCAATACTGAAGGGTTCCCAGAGCAGTTATCATCCAAAAGCAACCAATGACCCCAAAGCCAATAGTTTCACTAACAGAGCAAGCAAACAGCAATAATTTTTTAAATTTTAACTGGCAAGAGACCACAGCTACAACCTCACTCCCCAAATTAACCCTTCATACCACAGTATCTTCATCCTTCAGGATGGCACTTAACTATTAATGTCACAAAAATAATAGTAAAACTGCAGTAGCAAGCAAAATATATAAACTGTGGAAGGCAGAAGAGAAAATCACACCTATTTCCCACCACTGCCCGCCCCCCCTTTTGTCCTACTCTGCCTGGGCCAAAATTATATAGTATATAATATAGTATTATCATACAGTGGGGGTGGGGAATCCCATGGACTGGGAGGCCTGGTAATTATTCAGGTTGCCATAGGTGTGTGTAAGAGCATTTAAGGTAAAGGTACCCCTGCCCATACGGACCAGTCTTGCCAGACTCTAGGGTTGTGTGCTCATCTCACTCTATAGGCCGGGAGCCAGCGCTGTCCGCAGACACTTCCGGGTCACGTGGCCAGCGTGACAAGCCGCATCTGGCAAGCCAGCGCAGCACACGGAACGCCGTTTACCTTCCCGCCAGTAAGCGGTCCCTATTTATCTACTTGCACCCGGGGGTGCTTTCGAACTGCTAGGTTGACAGGCGCTGGGACCGAACGACGGGAGCGCACCCTGCCTCGGGGATTTGAACCACCGACCATGCGATCGGCAAGTCCTAGGCGCTGAGGTTTTACCCACAGCGCCACCCGCGTCCCGTTGTAAGAGCATTTAACTCTTTATTAATGTGCTGGAGTCCTAAATTAAATTCCTCCATGAAAGCTGCTAATTGGCACCAGGATTTCCTCACAATGCACAGAGCAACATAGGTGGAATCTTATTCAGGGCTGTAGCACTCAAATAAAGGGTTAACACTCACACACTTGCTGCAGCTTGGGTAATGATGAGCTGCCCTCCCTGCACAGTTGATGCTATTAGCATTTGCTTAAAATTTGCCTGTTCAATGCTATGATGCATTTAATGTCATGTGTGCTCTGGTGCTCTTCTCTGCTGCATAGTTCATGAGCAGGCTTCACCACTATGAGTATTTTATGTTACAAAGTGGTGTGCAGAGCATCTATGGAATTTTAAAGAGTTGTTTTAAATTTGCTGTATAGTGTTTTGTTTTGTTTTGTTTTGTTTTAAGGGCACAAGCAGGATGCACAAGAGGAAATACTTTGCTGCAGCTTAATATATTTTAATGTACTGTATATAAATCACTCAGTTCCATTCTCTTTTTTTGAGGCCAGAACTGCTGCCGCCCCCAGAACCATCTTGTGTGACAAACCTGTGGTATGCTTGGGGTTATTCCAGTTGTAGCAATGTCCTACAAATATATGCTTCTCCATATAAATTTTGGAAGCAGGCCAGGAATGGGTTTTCCCAATACAATGGTACCTCAGGTTAAGTACTTAATTCGTTCCGGAGGTCCGTACTTAACATGAAACTGTTCTTAACCTGAAGCACCACTTTAGCTAATGGGGCCTCCTGCTGCTGCCGTGCCGCCAGAGCGCAATTTCTGTTCTCATCCTGAAGCAAAGTTTTTAACCTGAAGCACTATTTCTGGGTAAGCGGAATCTGTAACCTGAAGCATATGTAACCTGAGGTACCACTGTACAAGTACAATTATTGGCAGGCACTAACATAAGAGTTCTGTTAAATTGCAACTCATGTTGCACTTCAAAAGGAAGGACAGGGTCAATCCCACTTATAGTGGTGGACTGTGCTAATATGGCACCCTGAACAAGGGCACACTTTAGCACCCACTAAATATTTATGTGCTCTTGTGTGTAGAACCCTGCAAGGCAATTCTTGAAGTTTACACGATCCAATTGCCCCTTTTTAATACAGTCAAACCTCAAACGGCTCCGTTTTTGAACGTTTCGGCTTCCAAACGCCAAAAACCCAGAAGTAACTGCTTTGGTTTTTGAACGATTTTCGAAAGCCGAATGTTCTACGTGGCTTCTGTTTTGAGTTTCCCTATTGTACTGAGGCTTCCGCTTTCCAGTTTTCAGTTGTCAAACGTTTTGGAAGTTGAACGGTCTTCCGGAACGGATTACGTTCGACAACCAAGGTTTGACTGTATAGAAAAAGCTGTAGTCCTATGTTCCTTTCAAGAATTTGAAGAAAGGACTCAACACTACTTCTTTTTATAAAGCTTTGCATTTAGGAAACAAACAAAACAACTCAAAAAAGGCAAGATGTGCTCCAACCAGATTGGTTAAATTTTTGGACAAAGTACACAATAGTCTGCATTCAACTAATCTTTACTCAGAGTAGACCCACTTAATGAAACAAGTTAGTTGTGGCCATTCATTTCAATGACTCTATTCTGAGCAAATGTTCATGTTTCTGCTTATTTTTTTTTAAGAAAAAACCTAGTATGCTTTCTTCTGACCAGCTTTGGTTTTAATGCTATAAAGGAAAATCTTTGTAGTGCTTTACAAGGAAAGGTGAGAATGAGTAATCTGATGCATTATTTATAGACTTGAGTACATTCTACCCAAATACTCCAATGAAAAAGGAAATGCTGCCTTGGTTTACTGGCCCACAAGAATGTCTGGTTTCTGTAAAACTTCTCTAATGTTACAGGGGAAGGAACAGATCAAACTAAAGGGCAAAAATGAACAAGAAAATTAGAAATAAGATTTAAGTAGTGAAATGCATGCTAGTTGTACATACCCCACCAACTCAAATGATTTCAAAGGTGCATATAATCACTTTTAACTCTTCGACCTAATACTTGGACTACCAGTTCTAACACAAATCGCCAGGCTTGGTTTCTTACGACAAAATGAAATCTAACAGTATTCAGCAAGGCTTCCTAGAATGAGGAAATTTTCCTAGCCAGAATTCTACATACACTGGCACTGTAGTAAGTTCAAGTAAAAGTGTTGGGACTTGCCTCCAAGCAAGATGTGTTTAGATTGGCAGTTCTCAAACTTTGTTGTTTATCTCTGGACCACTTGGAAATTGCTATGGATCTTGGTGGTTTTGCTGCCTGTTTAGCAAGTGTAAAGCACTGTACTTATGGTTCACCATACTGGGGGGGGGGGGAGTGACAAGTATGACACCGCTGGGATCTATTCTGGCCCCAGTGTTGTTCAACATCTTTATAAATGACTTAGATGAAGGAACGGAGGGACAGCTCATCAAGTTTGCAGATGACACCAAACTGTAATGGGTAGCTTGTACTGCAGAAGACAGAATCAGGATTCAAGAGAAGAGGAACACATTGGAGAACTGGGTCAAAACAAGCAAAATGAATGCCTTAGTCATACCCCACCTGGAGTACTGTGCCCAGTTCCGGGCACTACAATTAAAGGAGGATATTGAGAAGCTGGGATGTGTGCAGAGGAGGGCAAGCATGAGAAAGGGCCTGGAAACCAAGCCTTAAGAGGGATGGTTGAGAAAGTAACAACAATACTACATTCTCCATTTGCAAAACCAAACCAACAGGGAAGATCTACTGAAAACAAGAGGAAAATATTAAAGCATACAATGCTTGGGAGAATTTTTAGAGGTCATGAAAGTTGGTGTATAAAGTTTCTCAAACATGTGTCTTCCCACTCCTGCCCCCACACTTTTCCTATCATGTGCTCCGTCATTTTATGAAAACCTGCTTTGAGCACCATCTCACATTTTAAAAGGGGTGTCTGAAATGTTTCTTCAGCTAAACTTGTCACGGAGCTTTGGGAAAGGAAGATACAAACATCTAAATAAAAAGGAAAGTCCTGTTACACTAGATTAACTGGACCTCATTTTAGAATATTCCCCAAATGTTCTGCACTCTTAAGTGTAAGCAGGCAATTCTCTCAGCAAGAAAAATAAAGAATGCCACAAGGGAATATTAAATGTCACCTCTCCTTCTGCCTCTAGCAAATGTTTACCAGCACATCATACATTTTTCATGCTAAGTAACCTAAAACTTTTATAAGAATTCCTAACAGTTATTCTATCCAACATGAAAACCAATACAAGAGAGACATCTAATTAGTAAGCTATTTGATAGCTTTCTCTGAAGAACTCATTCATGCTGCTTTTAATGAATACAGGTCATACTGTCTTAAAGGCATTATTATGCAGGGAAGAATGTATTTCTATAAACACACCCACTAAGAGTACACCTCTGTGTATGTCTACTCAGAAGGAAGCTTCACTGACTTCAATGGAACTTATTCCCAGGCCAGTGTGTTCTGGACTGCAGCCTCTATTGGTGCATTCCCTCCTTTGGTTTCTCTGTATAGGATTTCAGCTCGACTTTTATACTTGAACTCAGGTGCTTATTAATGTCAGATGAGCATGTGCTGTTGTTTTTCAATACACTGTAGAAACAAATCAGGATTAAAGCTATGGCAACATGCAGCATAAAATTACCCAAGGTCTTCAAACTTGTTTTTTGACCATTTTATTAAAAAAATAAATTTCCTATATCAACATGTGTATCAGGTTGCTGCATGACTGATCCATTACCATAATATTAAGAGAAACATTGCATTCTTCACATCTCGAAAAGGAATACAAGCTCCAGGACATTCTGAAAAACAGAACCATGTAATCAGAACTAAAGTATACCACAACCTGTTTTGTTTTTGTTTTTTTAAAAAAATCATTTCAACAAAAAAACCTTGCCCAGGCTGGTATGCATTTTGCTAAGTCTACTCTTCTAATATAACTTGTTCAAGAAGTACTATTATTATTATTTTGCCACACCAACAAATGTTTACATTTGTTGTCAATCCTTTTTAGGTTTTACTCTAGCTAGCTTTCTAAAAAATGACTAGTAATTCTCAATTTTGAGGCATAAATGCTGGATCATTAGTGCCACTTGTGCGCTTTTATATCTAATGCCAAGAGTTGTTTCTTCAGAGTCACAAGTTATCCCTATGGATTTCTTGAGTGTAACACTGACAATGCCATGAGGGTTCTACAGCTGGTCTGACCACGGCAAATATTGGGAAAGTATGGAAAACCTAAGGCTGCAATCCTAAAGCTGGGCTCCTTAAATTGAAGCCAATTAGACAGAAGCAATTTTGTGTGCTGCACTACAGCTCCAAACAGTACTGCACTTGGTCTTCCTCTTTGGACAAAGTAATATCAGAACTAGCTGCGTGTAAAAACAAAAGCAAAAAGGTGTACTGAGCGGGTGACACTGCTGTAAAAATCAAGAACCGATGCAAAAGTAAAAAATCCTGTGTATACAGGTTAAAAGGACATACAGAGTCGTGATGGTCTAAAACTCAGCATATTCCAACGGTATATTTCCTCCCATTCAAAGTCTCTTTTGGACAAAAGCATTGTTACACCAAAACGTATCTGCAAAGGAGTTTCTGTTCCCCAGTTTTCAATATCAATACCTTGTGAATATTTAAGGAGTTATGGAAGAGACTTGATTTCTTTTGGACTTTTTAGAAAAGCTGGCATCATAAGGCTGTACTTCTTGAAACATAATTTAAAAATCAAATTACATCATGGAAATATGCCAACAAGTTGTCTCAGTATTGGAAGATAACTCTACTTAAAATTGAGGGGGGAAGGAAGCAAGCAAGCAATGACATCTAGCAATATTTTGGTTTTCTGGACAATACAAAAAAATAGTACTCGTACATTTAAGAAATGTTCCATCAGATAGATAAAGCACATATGAATGCACATTCAGAATTCTGACACAGAAAATGTAATGTGGACAATTTGCTGCTATTTCCAAGCACACTTACAAAAAATACAATTTTATAATGAAAGAATTGTCAAAATACAGTTGAACAACAATCGGGAGCCACGCCCCCAAAAAGGATTCAACAGTATTACTTAAGCTCTGTTTCAGACTGTATTAAATACTGCTTGAGTAAACTTGTGGTCATAAAGCAGCATTATTCCAAGCACTTGTGAAGTTCCTTCTTTCATTATCTGAAGTGTCCTTTACTAAAGATTACACTGCCTGGCACTCGGATTCAAAGTGCAAACTCCTCACCTTGGAAACACAATGCATTTAGACACATTCTTATATTGTTGTACATAGCTGAAGCAGACACATCTTGTATATGGCAACTGTAAATCAAAGTATGGGTTTGATCACCTTGCTACATAGGTATTCCCCGTGCATTACAGAAGTCTTACTGGGAAATGTTCAATGACAACTTTACTTAAACACAGAAAGAGTTAACCAATTCATCCTATAAATATCTTCTTTATTTGCTTTGTGTCTAGAAGTTTCTATTAAGTTCTATTAACAGAAATACATAACAAAAGGTCTTCTATGTAGTGAAAAACTTAATTACAAATATTGAAAAAGGTTGGACTAATTAACATATGTACAGATTTGTCTAGTTAATATATTGAGGGGAATCTGTTTAATTAATGACATACATTTATAAGCATCAACAGTAAGTTTCAGTTGATAGTACTCCAAGTCCTTAGTTTGGGCAATGAGGATATGGTAAATTTCAAGATTGTTTTTTTAAAATGTAGCCATAACATGCAACAGAAAATATTCAGTCTGAACAGCTGCTGATAAATTGTTCTATTCCTTCCTGAAAAGATTTCTCTGCCAAATTAGTGTCCTTCTGTCCCTTCTTTTCTTTGTTCTGCTGTTCCTGTAGATTCAGGATTATGTTTCGTATTTCTTCCCGTTTTGTTTTCATTCTTGGGCGAGGAAACCAGTCTGTTAAATTCATTGGTAGTTCAAAACTTAGAATAGGAGTCTAGTAGAGACAAAAGAAGTAGGTTTATAGCAACAGGGCCTATAATGTATGACTTTTATATGACGTATTCAAAAATTAAGAATATCAGAAAATGCCAGATTTGTTACATTTTTACCCTTCCTCCAGTTTCCTCTTAAAAGAGCATACACATAGTACAACATACTCCTAAAGAAAACAATCATACAGAAATTCTCAACAAAACAATAAAAACTATATTTATTTCTGCTTGCTGAAATGTACAAGGTCTTCATGAGCGGACTGCATAAACTAGCCTAGCTAAACTAGTTTTGATTACACTGAAACATTGATTACTATATTTGGTTCTATTCAGCTACTTTCTTAAGGTCCCATCTACACAATACATTTAAAGCAGTGTCATAACACTTTAAACAGTCAAAGCTTCCCCCTTGGAGTTCTGGGAACTGTAGCCTGTCACAGCTGAGAATTGTTAGGAGGACCCCAATACCCCTCATAGATCTACAATTGTGGCTTAACAGTCAATCTGTCTTCTCAGGAACTGTAGCTCTATGAGCGGAATTATGGGTCTCTTAACAACTCTCAGCACCCATAACAAAATGCAGTTCCCAGAATTCTTTGGAAGAAGCCGTGACTGTTTAAAGTGGCATGATACTGCTTTAAGTGAATAGTGCAGATGGGGCCAGGATAAAGCTGTGACAATGTTCTGTAGACCCGGGGCATTAGGCTAGAATGCTGGCTTAATAATGGAAGCAGGAAGGTTGTCTTGCTCACACCTTACAGATTAATCTATCGTTAGAAGCAGTTTATGGTTTTCTACCAGAATGCCCTAGATAACTTTTGCACAGGGTCACACGACAAAAGGGAGTGAGATGCTTTTTTTTTTGTCACAAGTGGAGCACAGGTTTGCTTATCTGCCATTGTTGTAGTGCTCATGATGTATTATCATCTGCAAATAAGTCTATAGCTCCAACACTCAGCACAATACAACATGCATTGGAAAGGGTTCCTAGTGACACCTCACTACACAATTTAAATGTGTACTTAATCCATTTGCATCTATAAAATTGTTCAAGGCACACTGGGGAACTAGAGTCCCCACAGCATTTTAAAGCTACTTTACTTTAAATATGTGCATGTTTATATAACCTATAGAACATTAAATGTGTGCATGTTTATATAACCTATAGAACAAAACAAAACAAAGTATCAACAGAAGCATTAATCCTAGGATTCAGCCATCATCATTATTCTATGTTGTGGAGCAAGCTACACTCTTGCTCATTCTTCTTAATTTAACCTATAATAGGTGCTGCCGCCAACTAGTCATCCTGACACAGTAACCCACTGAGAATGTGGCAAAGATAGGCAGGAGTTGCCTTATCAAATCCAAAGCAATCATAACATTGGGAACTAACTGGTCTTTTATAAATGCTGTACTGCAGATTGTTAACTACCTCTAATCATTGTAAAATAAAAGCCATGGAAGTAGAAAAATGGAGACAGGGCCAAGAGGTGCATACAAGCACTGCTCCCAATGTTCCTGGGTACATGAGCTTCCGTTCAGATGTCTGGAGAAAGTGATTAGTTCTGCATAAAATGCCATATTCCACAAAGAAAGCAAGATAGCGTGACACTGAATTCCACTATTTTTGGCTATTACGAACATTCCGCCTGCCCGAGCTTGCCAGATTGAATGATCCCTCCACCCCTCCCACTGTGGGGGTAGCAGGGGACACATGGGGGAAGAGAGTACAGTCATACCTAGGATCCCAAACGCCTTGCGACTTGAACGTTTTGTCTCCTGAACGCCGCAAAATGAGTGTTCCGGTTTGCGAATGTTTTTTGGAAGCTGAACGTCTGACGCAGCTTCCGATTTGAGTGCAGGAAGTGCCTGCAGTCAATCTGAAGCCGTGTCTTGGTTTTTGAACCTTTTTGGAAGTGAAACGGACTTCTAGAACGCATTCCGTTCAAGAACCGGGGTATGACTGTATAGAAAGCCCAGCTGCATGGAGTTCATTAGGTGACTCCCATCCACAGGCTCCAGAAATGTGCATGGTGGCTAAATTAAACCCGATAATTTCAATGTCCCTAAAATTTTAAACTAAAAATACCAATAATCTCACCTCAAAAAAGCTCTCCACATACTGTAGCACATAAACTCCACAATCACTAAAGTTGTTCTGCTGCGGCACTTTAGGGTTTGAGCCTTTCATAACATCTTTGGAGAAACTTCTTTTAGTGCCTTTCCTGACTTCCCACTCCACCTCCAAGTATCTGCAATATAAAATCAAGAGGATGAGAAAAATGCTTTTATGGGATGTTCCAGCATTGACTGAAAAGGTTTTGCTTGAGAGGTCAACTACTTACTCCCGTAGTGTTCTAACGACGTTTGATCGGGAAGGCCCTCGCAATGAATCCATGAGAAGAATGCAAGGCCTACAAGAAAGCAAATTGTTTTGGTCTCATTAGAATTTTGCATATGCCACAGTGTTAAAACAAGGAAATGATATTATTTGATGAGGGTTCATATAGCTCTCACAGGTATGTGTAAAAAGAAAGAAGTAGATTTCTTTCATGATCCATACACAGTAGAAGTATCTTTTTTCTTCTTCACATCTGTGCACCGAGGAAGAAGACACAGGTTTTGTTTCACTCCACCTAAAAGCTATACTGCATTTTGCTTTCATTTCATTGTGAATGATACATGAATGTAAAGTAAATTACAATGAGATTTAACACAGGACTAAACACAAATAATTTGAGCAGCTATTTACATGTATTATTTCATTACAATATAAGACTAGATCAGGAACAGGGAGCGAGCTTGCTGCCCTCAGGATGTTGCTGAATGAAAATTCCATTCTTCTCTGACTACTGGTCATATTGGCCATCCCACTGAGTGATGGAGTCCAAAAACCTCTGAAGGACCACAGGTTCCTTAATCCCTTGCCTAGACAAGACCCAGAACTACACTTGAAAGATCAGAACTTTACTTCATTTTTCCTCTAACCTGTATATCTCAAAGCAAGTGGATTTAGATTTGCATAAATATGCCTACATTTTTAAGCACCTGCTATTATTGCAAAGAGAAAAGTTTATGTCCAACTCTTTATATTCTTATAAGGCAGATGGGAGTTGAGGTTGTGAAAGAGTGCTGAAGGTCACATAATTACTTCATGATGGAGAGGAAATAACGAGTCAGTCACAGCTCAACTGTAGAGCCACAATGCTAAATAATCTACCTAATTCTTAAAGCTGGAAGGTAATTAACAACTATACAACAAATGTAGCCCAGGTGTGTGTATAAGGATAGCTATCCAGCAGCAATTCCAAGGGTCAGATCCTGCATTAGTATAGAAATTATATTCCCCAAGCACTCCACTGGTAGGACTTTTCAAGCATAGAATAGAATTATGTACAGTTATATTCACCCATATCAGTTACTCTATGTTTGGCCCATTAAACTTTTAAGAGGAACAACATATTAAGAACAGCTTACACATAAGGTGAAAAACAGAAAAAAATCAAGTGACTACTACTACTACTACTACTACTACTACTACTACTACTAATATATTTCTATTGAAAAAGCAAATTTAAGGAACTGGTTAGCAACATAAGGAGCCATAGCCTAAAATGTGTGGATATTAAAGTAGTTGTGCCCTTTTTGCTAAGCAAAGCTGATATCTGAAGTAGTATTACATCGACCGTTAAGCCTTTGGATTCGAGCTGGATAGAAAGATACTTGAGCCACCATCTGCTTGAGACAATCCATGCCAGGCTGTGGCACAGAGTCACAGTAGCTCTGAATGCAATGTTCTAAAAGCTTACAACATTAACAGGTTTCTCTCTGGTGGAGCAGGCAGACTGTTAAGAATATTTCACTTGTGATGCAGATACTTACAGCAAACATAAGCCATAATAATGTAACAATGTATATTAATTCTTTTGTAAACCCAGAATTGGCAAATGAAGAAAAAGAGATTGAGTAATCTAAATTCTGAAAGAATAAAAAAGCAGAGATTTTATACAATGTTCAAATCCTGCCTGACCAGAGCAGGAATTAATTTTTTTAAAGTTTGAGTTCTAAATATGGAAATGACAGAACAGGGGAACGAAAAGAACACTGGATTCAGAAGACACATCTGTTGATTATTAATGGAAAGCCATAAATGTGTCACTTCAAAACTTACTGTTTACATATAGTTGGCTTCAGATGCCATTGTCCCAATTCTGAATTACAATGATCATCCGCAAGACCATCATCATCACTGCTGTTGTCCTAAAATAGAAAATATGTATTTGTAAGATTCTATCTTAAGAAACTCAGGAGAAGCTAGATTTACATATGCAGCAAGGTGGCATGATCCATGTGGTTATAGGACTCAGGCAAAATGCTAGCTCCCTCCCCTACTCATTCATGCCCTTTATGTTACAGGCATTGGGGGCTGGTGCACATTGGGATTCGTGGGGCAAAGGCAGTAGGTGAAGCCGGGACCAATGACAGACAGAAACAGAGCCAATGAACTTTTCTTCTTTAAGTAACCGAGTTTGGTGGGAGTGCAGAAAAAGAATTTAAACTTTTTCTGCAACAAAGACCGCAACCTGTATTTGAACTACTCTTTATAATAAAATCAGGAAGCAATTCTTCTGTTCCAGGAGAAACATTATCTAAAAATTAGAACTTAGAAACCAAATGAACCTATCAGTACAGAAAACCCCCACATCATATAATGATGGGAGGAAAATCATCACACACAAACAATATGGTTTCCATTTCTGCAGTAATCTCTGCAGCCTGCAATGCAATGTAATGGGCTATACACATTTCTGCCTTTATGCATGTAAGTGTGATACTTCAAAGTTTTGAAGTTCCACCTTTATGCTATGTGAATATTTTCTTGGAGGACAGCAAATGACCCTTCACCCTTCTGAAAAACTGACCTGCTTACCAAGGCAGGTGCAATCCAAGTACGACTGCAAATATATGAATTATATATGACTATATAATTCAAGCGGCACACAACACAGAAACTACATTCAGTAGATTGCCTCTAGCTCTTGAATAAAGGCAGGTGAACTAGCCAAAAGAAAACCTACAGGTAAGGCTAGAAATAACCCAGACAAAGATTACAAAGTATTTAAGAATATAAAAGCTAGATAAAGGGTTATGTTTAGAAATTTCTAGGTAGAGGACTATAAAGCCAAGCCATCTTCCTATTCAGAATCTAAGTATCACAGGATGAGAGTATTTCAAGTGTACCACAAGGACTATGAGGATAGAACTTCTTTCTTGGCTATTTTTATTTCCTGAACAGCTGTGAAAATGCTTTTCAAAAAGATTCTGAAGTCCCTCTAGGTAGAAATTACTGACCTGCATCCAGTCTCACTATGCCTCACATATACAACTGATGAAAGGAAAAACAACTCTTGGATGAAGGATCAGGACAGCCTGTGAGTACTAGTCTGTATAGTCTTTGAAATTGAAAACCACACTAGTAACTCTTCAAATAAAGACTGCCATTTAATATATAACTGGACTGATATCCTTGAATAATAGAAGAGAAAAAAGGGGAAAGCAACATTCCCTTGGTGCATGTAATGTGGAACAAGTTCCACATTAAAGTGAAACTTTAACACAGTCCGAAATTCTGTTTAACAAAGAAGCACTTTCTGCTCAATTTTTGATGATTACAATGATGGATAAAGCTCGCCTTCTAGTGGCTGGAGTTGGGAACATAACCATGGAAAGTGCTCCAGAGAAGTACTGGAGAAATGCTAGGCTATTTTATTGAAATGGAAATAGTGGTAACAGCACTGAGTAAGAAGCCTTAATCTTTATATATATCTTTAAGATATAGAATACACGCATGTACACACACACGTATCACTAGTTAAAATTAATCTTCCATTTGTCTTTGCAAAAGCACAGCCACTTGAAAACACAGTTAAGTGTCACATTGCCATCTTATGTTAGTTTACTAGCCTAAAATAAATGGCAGATAGGTTGTTGAGTCTTGCAATATACACACTAAGAACACCTCAACTACAAAAATGCTGAACACCTACTTTTAAAACAAAATAAGTACTGAAAAGGTGATTAACAAGTTATTTGCTCCATTTTAATACCTGTTCTACTGAATTCTTTTAAACACCTTCACCTCTAGAAATAAAGAATACTAGTTACATTCAAGTACAGTGGTACCTCGGGTTAAGTACTTAATTCATTCCGGAGGTCCGTTCTTAACCTGAAACTGTTCTTAACCTGAAGCACTACTTTAGCTAATGGAGCCTCCTGCTGCCGCCGCGCCGCCAGAGCACGATTTCTGTTCTCATCCTGAAGCAAAGTTCTTAACCCGAGGTACTATTTCTGGGTTAGCGGAGTCTGTAACCTGAAGTGTATGTAACCTGAAGCGTATGTAACCTGAGGTACCACTGTAATGCTGTTTAGACTATTTACCTGGTTATCTTGATCTTCTGAAAAATCTATTAGTTCATCTTCATTTAGTTTAGTGCTGTCAGTTGAATCTTCACTGTAGTTTAGTCTAATTTTCTGTAAACCATCTGCATTAACCACAACGATTAGTAAAAAAATGAAAACAGAATTGCCACAGACATATACATTATATACATTACCTTCTGGACAGGAACAGTAAACCACAAAGTGGAATAAATGCTTTTTTGTCAGCATCATACATGAGAACAAATGTCTAACTGAAATCTATACTTCCAACAGTGCAATCCTATCCATGCCTATTCAATAATAAGTCCCATTGAGTTCAATGGGATTTACAGGCAAGTGGGTTCAAGACTTTGGGCTCAGCTATCAACCTAAAAACACTCAGCTAAATTACATCTCACAGCAGTGCTGAGACATAGCTTACTGTACTGACTGGGAAGCAATATAGCACACACAGCAACACAGCAGGATGTCAGCTTGTGAAACAATTTTTTCTGTTGTGTGTTCAACATAACATTAAGCCAAACCGCATTCCCAGAGAGGAGATTGCAGCCACTTTGCTCCTTCCCTGGTCCTGCTATTGTGACCTAAATTGTGGTTTGGCTTAGGGCATTGTCAGAACCTGGGCTTGTAATTTGTCTTGCTCCAGACAGAGCAGGAATTGCAGCCCAAGTTTGTTCTTGGAGCTCAGGTTGAAATGACACCCTAAGCCAAAAAGCAGATTAGCCAGCAACAGGACTAGAGGAGGTAGGTGGGTAAGCAGTCACAATCTTCCCACTCACATTGAGTCCACCCATTCGCAGTGAGCCAGTTTGACTATTATGAATTAGACAGATGCACACTTTCTATACAAGAACTGCTTAAGCAGACAAATCAAATAGTTTGCTTGATCAGAACTAAGTAGACAGTTTTACTCTTCTCCAGTTGTGAAATGATATATTTTTGTTTAGTGTGGTTTGCAATGAGCACAAGTAGGAAAAAACACACAGCAAACTTTGAGCTTGGACATTCTGTTCTCTCCCTTCCTCCCAGTAGGATTTCAGAAGTTTTAGCTTTTACTTTTGGTTTATCCCCATCAGCCCAAGGCTCACTGCAGCTTGTGAAAGTTGCACTAAAACAGGGTTTATTGAAATGTGTGAACAGGACCACATATTTCACTATGTAAAATATGTTGTAAAAATGGTGTCCGGGGTGTGTGTGTGTTGCCAAATCAGCAAGATGTCAGGGAAAATCTGGACATAAAGCAGCGCAATAGAAAAAGCTGTGGAAACAGCTCAAAAAGCTTAAGTTTACCCAACCATGTTGGGGTCATCCTAAAAAAAATAATAAAAAAATCTTGAAATATGGCAACCCTAAACAAGCTGATCACTAGGCTCTAGTTATACAGGGTGAGTCCTTTAAAAGACGCCCAATGAATAGTACGACATCTTCCTCATACATTTACCTCAGCGACAAATTACTTCAACAAAGTACTGAATGCTGCATATTTTTAGAAACCAGTAAAGCTTAGTATCTTAAGGAGGCGTCACTGATTGTATTTCTGATTTTGAAACTGGTGGTCTTTGAATTCCACATCTAAATCTCCAGAAGGAGCAAAACAGTGATGATCTGAAGAAAATCTAAACTTGAAATTTATATTAGCATTTCTGCAGCTCTAACTAAAGAAAATATAAATGTGAGTTTTTAGTTTTCCAAGCCAAGATTCACCAACCACTGCACATTTATCGTGGATCAGCTGAAATTCTTACATTGGTGTTTTTGCAACACTGAAATGTTACCATTTGATGCACAGCTGGAGGAAAATGTGTAGAACAAATCTTATTAGTGGCTGGCTGATTCTAAAGAAATGGGATTCTTAATGTGAATCTAGAAAGTGGTCTTATAGTGAGCATATACTTGGCTTATCTAGCACAGTATTGTTTACTGTCACTGGTAGCTATTTGCCAATGCTCAGCAGAGGGCATTCCCACCAGCAATCCCTGATATGCTTTTTTACAAGATATGCTCCGTATTGAACTCCCACTTAATTTTAGCAGTGCTACAGTCTCAACACTCCCCTCCCCCATCATTCTCTGGGATTTTTTTTAGCAGTTTAATTATTTAAAGGAAAAAATATATAAGTTATATTAGCAGTAATAAGGTATCAAATTCCAAATATCAAACATATATAGCCAAAAGTACATACCCGTAGCCTGGATGTGAATTTTATCTTCATTCTGCATGCCATTTGCCTCTGAAATCCTGTGGTCATGTTTATGAAACACAGATTCCACAGTTCTCAGTCCTTCTGGGGTGCTGTTTAACTGATTTAGTTTTTTTAAGCCACTTTTCACAGAAGGGGTTCTTTTGCAATACTGTGATTCAGTCTCCCCGGCTTCTATGCTTGTGTCAGTTAATGCTGCAATATGTTTCTTGTTCAGCACCTTCTTTGTAAAAGATGCAGAAGTGGAGTGATGTAACGGATTCAATTCACTAGGTATAGGAGAAGAAGTGCTTTTTTCTTGATCCAAAGAGGAAGATTTAACCTGCATAGATACGTTTTCGTGGTAGTACGGATTGGTCTCATATATTGCATTTTCTAAACCAGGGAAACAGATGACAGCCAAAAACCAATGGGCCCTGAAAAAAATAAAAACAAAACTAAGAATTGACTCAACAGCTATCATCATATATATGTATTACTCATTTAGTATAGATCAAATAACTCCGAAATTATTGTTAGTTATTTACATTCTTATCATAGACATCTGTTTCACACATTCAGATATGTAAACAGTGTGGTCACATTTAGAGAACAAGGCACAATAATTATATGTATAAACTGTAAAGGGAAACTTAAAAATTGCCTCCTCCTGGAAATTTCTGGTAAATTTTTAAACCAGAATCCCTGGTCAAGCACAATGCAAAGCCAGGATTCAGTAAAAAGGGAAACTAAATGTTGCTGAAGTACAGAGCAATCACATCTTACGCGTTCCATTTCAAAGGTTCTGTGTACAGTGGTACCTCAGGTTACATACGCTTCAGGTTACAGACTCTGCTAACCCAGAAATAATGCTTCAGGTTAAGAACTTTGCTTCAGGATAAGAACAGAAATCGTGCTCCGGCAGTGCGGTGGCAGCAGGAGGCCCCATTAGCTAAAGTGGTGCTTCAGGTTAAGAACAGTTTCGGGTTAAGAACAGGCCTCCGGAACGAATTAAGTACTTAACCCAAGGTACCACTGTATAGGCAAAAAACACATATACTCAAACCCTTAGAACTGAACCCCAAACTGAACTACCTAGGGCTTTTGGAACTGGTACATTGGCTCTTATGAGATCTTGCAGGGCCATCCAAGTTCCCACGAAATCTCACAGATGCATCCCTGATCCAAGAAGAGGAGACAGCTATGCTTGGGAAGCAAGGCAGAGAGCTTAAAAAGCTCTTTTTGCACCAGAAAAACCCAGCACAAAAAAAGCTTGCGGGATTTCAACCAGCTAGCCTTCAACTGCATATATTTGAAATTACGCAAGTCAGATGTGCGAAGATGTGATTGCATTGTACTCATCCTGTGTGGTCAGGAGGGGAATGGGGGAATTTGTGCACATGTGTGTGCCTGATACTTTGCTTGGGCTCATTCAAGCTCATCCTCATAGCACTACATCATGGTTTAGCATTACGTGCAAACACAGCCGATGACCTGTGCAATCCTAGCATGTGTTTCATCATGAAAACAATATGTACCAAAAACACAGCTGGTTTTGCCCATACTAGCTGCACTGCTCAGGAGCAAATGTGTCCTTCAAACAAATAGATAAGCCGCATTGCAATGCAGCCACCTATTCCAATTTTCCCAGATAAGTGATTTATGCAAGGATCTCTCTGTAGACCTAGTTTCCCTACTGGGCGGAACTTGAACCAAAAGAGAATCTTCAAGGACATCAGAGAGGTGGAAGAATACTCAGTTTGTGGTTCTGACAGTTGAAGAGAAGGGGGGGAAAGGATAGTTGGGGAAAAGGTATGTATACTGAGAGAGTACTAACTCAGGCCCCAGAGAAGATGGGGTTACATACAGATGATATCCAGGGTTTTCTGGACAGTATGATAGTTGAGAACATGGCTCAGATAACAGACACACAGTCCCAGAACCAGTCATAGCAGAACAAATTCTACTTACGCTTCATTAAGAGGAACAAAAATAAAATCTTTTTCAAAGATATCAACATGTCGTGTCCATGTTTTCACTCGTCCATGCCGTTTCTGCTGAATTCTGTGAACACATCAATATAAAACAATATAAAACACAAGGATTGATATTTAGGTGATATTTATGTATTCTCCTCTCCAACAATGAGGGTTTGGCTATTATCACAATCTTGTGGCACCAGCTATGTGAAGATGTTTAGGACTTCTCCTCCATCTTCAGCTGTTTGGGCAGAAATAATATTTTTAAAAAGTCAAAATGAATTGCCAAGTGGTAAATCATACAGCTTTTACTTATAAAAAGTACCATTCTGTTCTTCTACTCAATTTATGATAAATTTGTCGCATGTTAATCTGGGTCAGATGTACATGACCCCCTGGCTTGTGTGCTCCCTCCCCTTCTCTGGTGCAGCCAGAGGCATGTGGGAAATTTTTATTTTCAATCTCCTTATAACTATATTGGAAAGGGAGGGCCTTGAGTCTGAAGTTCATCTTTAAAAATGCCATTGTCCTCACAGGGGATGAATGAGACATGCTGAAAATGGAATTTTATAATACATATTTTAACCAAACTTACGTAAGCTTTGAGGTTTCTTGGAGATTTCTCCTCTCCCTCTGATTAAGGCGTTTGTAAAAGAAGGAACTGAATACATGAATTCTATCAGCATCTTCTTTTTTCAATTGTTCAAGCACCAGATATCTTTATTTTGAAAAAGAGAAACAAGAACAAAATAAAACAATGCTTTCATTCTTGCCTCTAAAGACCTGTTATTCTTGAAAAGACTGCCACATGCTGGCCATTCTACACAGACAAAAGTAGACAAATGTAAGAACTTTATAGTTTCGGCAGATATACTTTATTTAGAATTTAAGGTTTGCCTAAGTTAGACAGACACCACAAAAGGTTTCAATACACTCAAACAACTTACTTCAAATAGAAATCAATGATGACGTCGTTTAAAAATTCTCCTTCATTTAAGCAATGAAGATCTTCATTGGTCACAGAAATACCACCCTTTGCAGGAGGTGGGGGATAAACAATCAACCTGCAAATAAAAAAAAAAGTTAAATAAATACTGAACTGAATTATTTAGGAAATAATTACAACACTCAGAAAGACCTCTTACTTTTCTATAGGACCTATAAAGACTGTATGTGGTTCAACACTTTCATCATCATCAAAAAACTGGAACTGTGTTGCATTTCGCAGTTGCATTTTGGATTCAGAGACCTTAGAAAAGAGAATACTTATTTACAATGCAATACCAAAGTCATAAAATATTAAAATCCTATCCAATTCCCAAATAGAACAGCATGTCCCTCTTTTTATAAAACTATGAATTTGAACACAGTGGGCACATAGAGATGTAATGTTCCCAGCATCTTAAAACCATGGTTTATGGTGCAGACAATGAGCACCAGGCCTGCACCCTCCTCTGTTACCTCTTCCCCTTCCCTGCTCTATGTCAGCTCCAGTGCAGATTTCCTGGACTGTTTCAACCAGATTCCCCATTACAGTATGTATGAAACAGGCAATTCAATTTTAATATCCATTTATTAACCAGGATATTAAGTTAAGATCAGAACCTGACTAAATATTCTGTTTAGTAGGCAGACATAAAATAGCTGAAATATCACATTGACAAAATATGTTACATATATTGCATATATTTTGACTTGATAACATTTCATTTTTTCAGTTTTACTATCCAAAAATATATACTTTGGCCCTCTCTTTAATAAAATTTATCTAGAACATGGAAGCAGCAGACATTGCAAAGGGCATTTCTAAACAAATGACTTGACAACTTATTTAACATTTTAATTCAATTTTGAAGAAAAGGAGTAGTACATGTTTTGCTTTGCCTTCTTTATGAGCCGTGCTTCCTCTAGAAGTGTCTTCAAAGGATTTTGTAAAGGCCACAAGCCTACTATTTGCTTCTTCAAATGTAATCTTCACAAAAAAATCAGAAATGTTGTTCCTAACACCAATATCAACGATTATTTTTTCAAATATTGCATTTGCATGTGGATCAAGGCCCGTCTCAAAAATTAAAATGATGTATTGTTCTTCAGGATCTATGGAGGGGGGGAAGAGTTAGGAGACAATGAAGGTATACTTTTAAAACCATAAAAACATTTTCAAAAGTTAAAGTTGATAATAAAATTTTTATTATTTACACCTTGCCTATCTGGCTGGGTTTCCCCAGCCACTCTGGACAGCTTACACATATTAAAAATGTTTGATATCTAGGAATAACAATCACAGCTAAGAGGTCCCTGGCTGAACCACTTAAAGTATTCATAAGAAACCGCCATATAAATGGAAAAAAACTAAAATTCAATGCATCATTCTAAAGAAAATGTTCTGCTCATGAAAAAGCTAGAGTAGGGCACATTATGTCAACTGCTACTCATGCAAGTTGCTGAAGAGACTGATGGAAAGGGAAAGAAATGGACACCAAACTCAGTTCAGGCACTCCCTTTTTTACTCCACAGCTCAAGTGCTTTACTTCTTTCCTATTCTCTGTAATGGTAGCAAAGATCACCCAACTATGGGGGGGGGGAGTATTAAGATACTGATCCCATTTTTATTTTTATTTTGTAAAAAAGGGCAGCTTGAGCATAACAGCACCCACAGAGTTTTGTGCCGCACATAATTATCTCTGAGTAGAGAAGAGAGAGCTGTGGTTCCTAACCTATTCTGGGCCACAGATCCCTTTAAGAATCTGATAAAAGATATTAACCCCCTGCCCAGGAAAAAAAAGGACATAACACATACCAGGGGTGCCAACTCCTGGGGGCCAAACCCTTTTGCCCCCCCCTCCACCAATATTATTTGGGAGGGGTCACTCCCAGAAATGCAGCATAATTGCAATAAAACATTCCAAACCAGTGTGTTACTTAGAACTTCAGGAAGCTGGGAAATGCAAAATATGCTATGTTGTCTTCAACATGATCTAGACAAAATTTTCTAAATATGCCAGACAAAAATATACCGTTTCCATTTATTAACCTAAAAGTACCACTGAATTCTGATGCTGGCAAAATATGACATTTTTTCTAGTGCTATTTAATTAGAGCATTTTCAGAGAAACCAACATAACATTTAGTGAAATACAGCTCATCTCTAACACATAACTGCTTCAAAATATTTTAAAACACATTAAGTTTCAATACCATACAAAGGTTCACTTACTTGCACCTTTACAGTCATACCAGACATTATCTTTTTGCCTGTTCATCTTCAGTTGGGATCTCAGGCTCTGACAAGCAGCAGGTATAGTTTGCAGGAAAACTACTGGCAACTTGCGAACACCACACCACTCACACTTTGTAAGGTCAGATGTTCTTAAAGAAATATCTCTAGTATCATTTTCTGATTCTAGAAAGGTTCAAAACATATTTTGGTCAGAGTTACTTACATTAACATTATCTGAAAAATGTAACTGTTTGTATGCATTTCAAGAAAATAAAACCTGTTAATCAAAGACAGACTACATTTCTATCTCTGAAATTTGCAATAGGAGTGCTCCCAATTATTCTCTCCACAGTCTTTACAACCCTGGACAGCACTGTTTTTCCCCTGACCGTGCAGCTCCCAAACCACACACAGAGATCATAAGTTGACACTCTCTCAACAGTACAAAGGTAAAATGCCATCAGCAGGTCCTTTGAGAGGTTATTTTTCCGGAGGATTCTTAGAAAATATAACCTCTGCTGTGCTCTCTTCATCAGGTCTTTATTGTTTTCTCCCCAGGTTAGGTTATCTCTCAACTCCATTCCCAGAAATCGAAACCCCGAGACCTGTTCCACACACTTCCCTTCAATAATGAGTGGCATGAAGAAAGACACACAGTATTGTTACTATAACTATTTTATATTGTAACCAGAAAACACTGTATTTAATGACTGCATGCAAGTGGAGAAATTATAACTTAGAATAGGGAAATACGAACCTTCCAGACGTATCTTGATATAGTCTAGGCAAAACTGAAAGAGAAGGTCCAAGTTACTGAAGTTATACATACAAGGAGAAAATCAACATCACACTCTTCTGATCGTTCTGTCAGCACGAACTTTTCTGCTTGCCAGATAGAAGAACCCATTATTTTCCCCCTCCCTCCGTGTGCAGTTCTGGGGATTCTCTTGACCCTCCAGAGCGGATTTGGGGGAGGCGTGAGGAAAAGCCCCATTGCACAAGTAGGAGTCCTTATGATGGCTTCCACTAGTGCACTGGGTTAGTTGAATCTAGGCCACTGACTCATTAACAACCTGCCCAACCTATTTTTCAAAATCAAAGCCCTAGTCACAAACCAGATTAGAAATTGCATCTCCTGACATAAAAGCCCCACTTTCTAAACCCCAGCATCATTTGACTGTAAAAGAAATCAATTTTAAGAGGTATGCAGGATATAATGAAGTAGCATCTGTATACTAATTTTATAGAAGTTTAGGAATGCATGGCTTTCTAAACCTGCAGGAACTATTCCCTTTTCATTGCAGTGGAAATGATAGCTACTTTTCAATCTAAGTAGAACTAGATTTTTTATGGGGACACAACTACGTCTCCTGAAGCTCTACTAAGTGGTGAACATGGTCCTCTAATACATTTGAGTTTGAACATTTGTAGCCTGTGGCAGTTCAAACTAAGCACACTTCTGAATCAATATGTACACGCACTCTGAATGTGCAGTACAAGTATAGGTAGAATTATCTTCAACAGTGATGGTTACCATCTGATTTTCTGCATGCAAGTACAGATGGCACGCATGCACAAGACTCTAATAAATGGGCATGCTGTTTTTTTGGCACCTGCTAAAGACTTTCTTCGTTCAAAAGGCTTTCTAAACAGATTTTTATTCCAGTTGGCATCTGTATTGGAATTGTTTTTATATAGGTAATTGTATTAACAATTAAAACTTGCCATTGTCATAATCATCTTCATATATCCAATTGCATTTAGTTCATCATCTTCCTGCCACCCAGCCCACTAACTGCATTTCCAACCTGTTCCTTAAGGATTTCAAAATTCATCTTGTTGGCCCAGCTATCTTCTGCCTCCCATCCAAATCTCCATATCCTTTGACCTCCGTATTTTGAAAGAATTCCCAAATACTGCTATTGTCATTCCCTTGTTCTTAACTTCAAAAACTGCTCTTCGCAGCCTTTACTATGGAATTTCCTTTAAAAGACAAGGTGATAGAAGAAAAACACTTCCTGTGTTTCTCACACTTTGGCTCCTTCCATGACCTGCTATTGATACTGTAGCTCAGTCATTTTTCATCACTCCATTTTATCTGCTGATTCCTTAAACTCTTCAAAGTTTCCATTTTCAGCTGCTTCCTACCTTCTACTCTCAACCTGGATGCCCCATTAACCTATTTGTTATTATAAAGCAGGAACTAACCAAGCACAATATTAATTCTTTTACTTACAATTACAGGCTCCACCACCATTCTTCGCAGGGTTCCTATTCTTATGCTTCGACAGTTTAGGATGACGCTTTCATAATTATTCTGATATTTTAAAGATACGACGACGTCAGTAGCAAGTTCTTGGGAGAGGACTTTGCGCCGTTTTACTGGAGCATTGGCTACAACATTGCCAAACTGAAAAATAATTATCAGAATTCATCAAAACATTTTTACTTCAAAAGTTGCCTTTAAAGATGATCAGGCATTAAAGGCATTGATGGGGGGAAATGTGCAACTGAAGCTTTTCTTTCTTTAGAAAAAAAAATCCAAACTTCTGTAAACATATGGAAGTTTGCAAGAGATAAAAACATTCCAGGGAGGGAGGAGACACACCAGAAGAGTCACGGATGGAAAAATAAAATTCTGAACAAGGACAGCAAAATAATTGTAATGACAAAAGAAAAAGGCATTAAGTTTGTTTGTTCAGAGAAAGAAAGAAAGAAAGAGAAGAGAAGAGAAAGAGGCATCCTAGCCGAAAGCAGTTTTTACGCAAGCTACTGCTGTGATGGTCAAAAGAGAATTGACTGGAAGGCTAGAGCCACAATCTCTTGATACATGTGTATGGAAATTAGAGACAAGGAGCCTACCAAGCCCATGGTCTAGCATTAAGAGTTTCCTGAATGAGCTTGGCACAGGCACCAACGCCATATGTAGGACTACACAGAGACTACAAAAGAATATATACATTTTTAGATCTGGTCTAACTGTTTCTCTGCCGCATGCATTTATTGGCTTACTATATTTACCCGCATAAACTGCACTGCCTATCACCTCACACCAGTTATAGCTTAAGAGTCCTACTCAAATCAAGTTGGGGAGACTGAATAGTAGGGTAGCAGAACAGAGGACGTGCAAAATAACAAAAAGGAAACACTTCAAAACCAACCATGAAAATAGGTTAGATCGAAATAATGAAGTAACATCAGACTGCATTATTTTATTGTACAGCAACACCACAGGGACAATCCAAACAAATCCCACTGATTTCACCACAAGATTTAATCATGTCCTCCCGCTGAAATCAATGGTTAACTGGGAATGAGGGAGGAGTACGATCCAACTAAGTGACTAAAATACAAAATTGGAAGATCACAAAAAATTATAGAAAGACAATCAAGTAATTTAGGTTCCCTGCCAGAGGTAAAATAGATATCATACATCGAAACCAGTCTGTTTCTTCTTTTTACATTATTATAAGCCCTGGACAAGCACACTATGTGAAATTTATTTCTGTAAAGTTTCTGTGACCCTCTAATTTTGCCAAGAATAATTTATATTAGTGATTTGTTATAATTTCTATTACATAACTTCTAATATTAATTTGGACGCGGGTGGCGCTATGGGTAAAAGCCTCAGTGCCTAGGGCTTGCCGATCAAAAGGTCGGCGGTTCGAATCCCCATGGCGGGGTGCGCTCCCGTTGCTCGGTCCCAGCGCCTGCCAACCTAGCAGTTCGAAAGCACCCCCGGGTGCAAGTAGATAAATAGGGACCGCTTACTAGCGGGAAGGTAAACAGCGTTTCCGTGTGTGGCTCTGGCTCGCCAGAGCAGCGATGTCACGCTGGCCACGTGACCCGGAAGTGTCTTCGGACAGCGCTGGCCCCCGGCCTCTTGAGTGAGATGGGCGCACAACCCTAGAGTCTGTCAAGACTGGCCCGTACGGGCAGGGGTACCTTTACCTTTAATATTAATTTACCAGGTTTGCCTAACAGTCTGTATGGGTTGTTTAAATGTTGCCTTTTTGTCAGCGTATGTTTGCAGGTCCTCTGTTCAGCGGACTTCTCTGGAATATCTTTTGCATGTTCCATGTATAATATCTCCACAAATCTCAAGAAACCACATATTTAAGAGCTATAAGCAACTTCAGAGGTTTGAAGATAAACTGTTACATAGAACACGCCCTTTTTAAAGAATTGCTGCCACGACTGTTAAGTCTTAAATTAACATACCGTGAAAGTTGTCCCCCTTGACAGCACTGCTCATGGTGCATTTTTGTCTTTGTTTATCCAATTCTTGCAGAGATGCTCAAACTAAAAAACAAAAATCCCCACCACGAAATCCTTATATTAAAGTGCTATTAATTGGGACAATTTTCAAAGTACTTTAATTTTAAGGAAATTATCGTCCTTGCTGGGTGTCACTTTGCTTACCGACAGCTAGTTCACACATACCAGCTGCACTGTTGAAGCCACTTCCCTGTTGCTACTTTCCATACTCCACTGATACTACAGGACTAAAAATAACACATAGGACGAGTGAACCACATGAAAGAATCATCCTCTTCCCCCAATCTTACTGATCCGACACTAAAGTTACATTGCTCCTCTAAAATGGCTCTGACAATGTAAACTACCAGAACAGTGTGAAAAGCAGTCACAGGAAACTGGTTCTCACATGGTTGAAGCAAAGTCCCAATACAGGGAACACTTTTAATGATGCATATGGACCTGCTTGTGCCCAGTGTGCTTCCTCACCCCCCTGCTTTTAGAATGCAACTTTCTCTATTCAACCTGCTTCTAAATCTTCCAAGTTTCAAAAGCAGCTTGTCACACAGTCTGTGGCATCCAATGTTTTCAAACGCCTTGCTGGATTTATACTATTAGCCACACACATTTCCAGATTGTGGTCCAGATTTGTGAAATAGCATTTGAAGATGTTAAGACAATCCAATAGAGAGGAGAGATGAAAACTATAACGTCATGTTTTGTTTCGCTCAAGAGTAGATTATTTTCCCATAAGAATACTGCAGAATATTTGCATGTATTAACTACCATATGTTCACATTTATCTATCAATATTGTATATGCGCTTACACAATCATTTCAAACTACATATGGATGGACTACCTGGTCTTTCATTCTTGATTTTCTTGGTAATATGACTGCAGGTTCTGTGTCTGCTGTAATACTAGTTAACCTTTGTTCTAGTTCACAAGTGTTTTCCTTCAAGGCTGCCTCCACCTTTCCTGTGGAAGGTGCAGGAGAAGAGCAGGCTGAATCTGCTGGACGTGGCGATATGCTCTCAATTCTGTTAGTGCTGCCAATCTCCTCCTCCTCTTCGTCATCACTGGATAGGACAACTGAAAGGAAAAGCATTTGTCTCAAGTTCAAAATACTAGTAACTAGAGGTGGTGACCTTTTAAGATCTAGGCTACTAAGACCACCTTTTAAGATCTAGGCTACTAAGACCATTATTACCCCACAGCCCTTTCAGGTAACCAACGGTATAAGACAGAGCTAAAGAAACCTAGTTTATAGGGTGATAATACTCCCTTTTGAATTATGGTGCTGGAGGAGACTCTTGAGAGTCCCATGGACTGCAAGAAGATCAAACGTATCCATTCTTAAGGAAATCAGCTCTGAGTGCTCACTGGAAGGACAGATCGTGAAGCTGAGGCTCCAATACTTTGGCCACCTCATGAGAAGAGAAGACTCCCTGGAAAAGACCCTGATGTTGGGAAAGATGGAGGGCACAAGGAGAAGGGGACGACAGAGGATGAGATGCTTGGACAGTGTTCTTGAAGCTACCAGCATGAGTTTGACCAAACTGCGGGAGGCAGTGGAAGACAGGAGTGCCTGGTGTGCTCTGGTCCATGGGGTCACGAAGAGTCGGACACAACTAAACAACAACAACAAATCCTCCCTACCTTCTCTACTCAGTATTAATTACATTTATACCCCACTTTTCTTCCATGGAACACAAGGCAGCATTCCTCATATCTCCATCAAAGCAGTGGCAAGTCCAGAACTACTTTGCTTGCACCAAAACCAATAAGCAACATCTTGCATTTTGTTTTCTCCTCAGAATTATCGCTACCAAGAGAGGGACTTTTTACAAATTAATGTATAACCAGCATTATTAGGAAGTCTATGGGTTCAAAAGAACTCTGTATTTTATTGTTTGAAATCGCTGTTTTATATGTATACATTTTTTTCAAAAACTTAATAACACACACACACACACACACACACACACACACAGCATTATTTGTTCTATGATTTAAAACTTACTTGGATCATTTAGATCAGATGCAGTTGTATTCTTCTGCCTTAAGTTTCCTGTAATTTTAGAACTGACTTTTCCATTCAGCCGCAACATAGTAGAGCCGATGTTACGCCTCGCTGTGAAATCAACTGAAACTGCCCCAGGAGAAGATCCATAAAACTTCTTTGTATTTAGTCCTGTGTTTAAAGATTTTTGCCCTGTTGAATTCTCATGTATAGGTTCTCGTGCTAAAGGTCCCAAAGAATCATTTAACTGAACACTTTGCATGGACTGCCTTTGCAAGCCCCCATTACAAAAATTTCCACACATTTGGCATTTGATCTGACTTTCATTTGGTTTTCCTACGCATAGGCAAACGGTGGAGTAAGTATTCTGTTCCAAGCCCTAGGGATTAAAAGGGGGGGGGGAGAGAATAAGTAGCTGTATTTATTTTGATCACATTTTCAAAATAAACACATCAGACATCCTATAAGGCTTAGGCAGATTTGAAGCGATAAGATGGAAATTTAAGCAATCTCTTTGTGAAATTTCGGGTTGAGAACCTGCCACAAGAACCTGGCTGCATAATTCAAATTATTAGGTCACATCATTTTACTTGGGCCTGTGCCTCCACTTCTAGTCTTCCCTCAAGTCAGTGTTGTTCAACCCACATTCTACTTTACCTCTGCCCTTTACTCACACAGTTTCCAAGTCCTCATATCCTTTTGCCCCCGTCAGCCCCAGAGCTTCTTGCCATTCACCTACCAGGCCTCTAAGCATCACTGTCTACCCAACATCTTCAATAATTTGGAAGCAATGTTAGAATTGTTGAGGGGCAGATGTTCAAAATGTAATTAATATTCATTATGTTTACCATTATTTTATCCCATCTCCATACAGCAGAGTACATGTATGTGCATGCAAGCCAAAAAGCAGGAATCACCAAGTTTACGTTTTGGGGAACAGTATTGGGAAATCAAGTTCTTTGCTTTCCAATTAAGTTTTGACTGGCAACAGTTTTCTGCTAAAAACACAGTACCAGTGCTGTTGTGGTAGCAATGGCACCTGCAGCCAAAGTACAACAACTACAAGATATTATGTAGCCCAAGACCTAAAAATGCAAATTAACCTTCTAACAATATCAACTTCTGAATGAATTTAACAGAATTTAAGGAACTTTCACCATATAACCCACCTCTAAGTGAGTTGCACATTTTTTGGTAGCAGGAGATGGAAGCAAACCGGACTGATACAAAGTGCAGTGACGTTTCAGTTGTACCTTCCTCGTAATTCCTGAATCCGACTCTGAGTCAGACTCTTCTCTGTTCTCCATCACACTTTCTGAAAGGGGAGAGTGAAATCATGAACAACAACAGCTGAAGAACAATGTAACTCTAATTTACTCCTTTATATCACTCTAAAAACAGCAGAAAAAGTTTCAAACTGCCTATCTCCATGTTTAAATGGAAGGTCTGAGCTGGTACTTCTTGAAAGCAACTACTGCTCACCCAAAGTGTGTGAAAGAGAACAACAAGTTTTTTCTGCCTGTTGTAGCCATTGTAAGCACTGTGCTAGATGCTGTACAATTTTTAATTTATTTCAACAGATATACTGCACACCACCAGAATGAAACTCTGCTTGGAAACTCCTTCAGTAGGTTAATCTGTAGGTAACCAATGCACAAATGCCAATGGCCAGCTATGTGTAATCTTGCAGCATGTATTGCTAACATACCAAACAAAGCCAAGAAAAAGCACTGCAGGCCACAGCTGCCACATGGAAATCCAGTAACAAATCCAGGTCCAAACTCTGGTCTATACAGTATAGGATAATTTGATCTCATCTATAACAGGCAGATTTGGCCTACTTAATCTACCCACTTTGATCAACTGTGTGTTACCTGGATGCAGTGGCGTAGCGTGGGGGGTGCAGGGGGTGCCGGCCGCACCGGGCGCAACATCTGGGGTTAGGGCAAATCCAGGGGTTAGGGGGCGCAAATCCACAGGTTAGGGGGCGCAAATCCACGGATTAGGGGGCGCAAATTACTTGCCTTGCCCCAGGTGCTGACAACCCACGCTACGCCGCTGCCTGGATGAAACTTAAGTTTATTCACTCCCATGACGTCTACCACTGATCACAGGCACATTTAATGCATACTGATGAAACCAAAACATACTCCAGTCAGCTCAACTAACACATTTCAGCTACTAACAGAGCAGCCAACATGCGCCATTCTAACGCATTTTATCAAGAGTGCTTTTACTCAGACATTCGTTAATGCACTTAATCCATATATAATGTACACCTATTTGACAGACATTTAATGGAAGTAAAAACAAAGTAAAAAACTTACGCATCTCCTGAAGCCGAGACAAACTATCATAGTCATTTTCTATCTTCTGGATGTTAGGAGGATATTCTTTTCTGGGGGGGAAATAATTAGAAGCTGTATTCAGAAAATATATGGCTTATTTAAAATCTTAATTTAGAATATTGAAGCTTGCCATGTTCTAAAACAACAAATGTACATATTCAAACACAATTCCAATGCAAACAAATGAATAGTCAGGATAAATGAGAAAAGATAAGTTTTGCAGTGTTTTTAACAAAATATCTAAAAAATAAAAAAAATGCAGTAACCATATACACACTACTTTTCTGATTGCAAAAGTATCCATCATACAGCACTGCAAACTAAAAGTTTAGCAGAAAGACTACAACTACAACTACTACTAGTTACAGGTATGTAGCCGTGTTGGTCTGCCATAGTTGAAACAAAATTAAAAAGTTCCTTCCAGTTGCACCTTAGAGGTCTCTACGGTGCTACTGGAAGGAACTTTTTTATATTGTTACAACTACTACTGTCTTGATATAAGCCCAGCTAAAATTTGATTATGTGCAGCATATTTTTAATTTTCCAAATACTTGTTAATTTTCCAAATGCTTACTTACCAAAGCCTGGTAAGGGTCTCCCGCAACCTTCCCAGAGCCCAGGAAGTAAGGAAAACCCACTTGGTGCACAGGTGTGTGTGTTTTATTTATTTATTCTCTCTCTACACGTGGTATGTTGCAATAGTATATGTAAAGTGAGCACAGGTTGCAGGCCCACTGTGGGAAGTGGCCAATATGCAACTGATCTATTATGGATGCAGAAAGTTATATGTTGTTTTATCAAGCTTCTGGATGTTTTCACTCAATTCACTGCATAAAATGTGGCTGTTTTCTCTTGCGACTGTGTGTCTGACACAGCCTTTAATACTTCATATTGTTTTATTTGCAAGATAGACATGTTTATATAGCTGGCTCTATTGCAGTTTCTACCTCAAGCCATTTAAGTGATTTAACAGAATTCCTGCTTAAAATTTTCTCATATTTAATAACTGTCCAACATCAAAAGACGTAATGTACAAGACATATGACACCATGTCCATAGTGCACATTCAGCTTAATACCAGCAGGGATGGTTAGCAGGGGCGCCGACTTATAAAAAATATTGGGGGGGCCCATACCGGGGTCCTGCCCCGGGAAGTTTTCTAAATTTTAGATGAAAATTAGTGAGTTTTAAAGTTTTTTTAAAAGTATTTTAGAGTCATATGATCAACATTAGAACCCCGAAAACTCGACTCTCTATAACTCCACACTCCGGGAAACTCGACAAGCCTGAAACACTTTTTGGCTTTGAAAAAAGAAACAAAACATAAACACGCACGGTATTTTCGTAAAAAGCTAATTTAATTTACAGTAACAATACACTAAGAGACTAAAGTAAACGAATAAAATATAGTCATATAAAAGAGTCCACTAAACACTAAAGTCGGAACGCTAAACACGTCTGCAGCATGCACTGAACGAAACTATCCACACTGAATGACTGCGCCAGCAGGGTGGGCTTTATATAGCCGCGGCGTCGTAATGTCTCGAAGCGTCAAGGCGACGCGAGGTGGAGGATTCCAGGCGCTTCTGCTCTAGTCCTTTTGATGTCGCCGCGGCCGCAGCGCTGGCCCGCCAGACTTTACACGAAGGTTCGCGCACCGGGACAAATTCTTTTTTTCTTTTTTTTTGCAACAATTTTTATTATTTCAACATAAACAGACAAAATTAAACAAACAGTTTCATATAATTCTACAAATTCATTCTTAAGACTTCCTTCAACCTCTCCGCAAATCTTTCGTTGTCTATCTAACACATATTTTCGCATCTCTTACTATCTATTGACATTGTTCATTCCTTTCCACCCTTTTCCTTTCGACAATAGCCTTGCTATTCTCACAGAGTTCTTTTGAACCCTACTAGCGTTATTTGTCCCTCACTTAATTTGTCCAGATACTCCACAAATCTTCCCCAATCCTCTATAAACCTTTGATCTTTTAAATATCTAATTTTCCCCGTCAATCTATCTAGTTCCGCATAATTTAGTAGTTTCTCTCTCCACTCCTCAATTGTCGGTATCTTCTGTTGTTTCCAATTCTGGGCAAGTAACACTCTTGCTGCAGTTGTAGCATATTGGAAGAATTTGCAGTCTTTGCTCTTAATCTCCTTTCCTGATAAACCTAATAGAAAGGCTTCTGGTTTTTCCCCAAAAGAACATTTTAAAAAATTTTTCATTTCCGTATACACCTCTTCCCAGAAACCCTTAACCCTTTTACAATCCCACCACATGTGGTAGAAGGTTCCCTCTTCTTCCCTGCATTTCCAGCATTTATTGCATACTTTATACATTTTTGCTAATTTCGCAGGGGTGATATACCACCGATATAGCATCTTCATTAAATTTTCCTTCAAAGTTACACATGCAGTGAATTTAAGATTTTTTCTCCATAATTTCTCCCATTCTTCATAATAGATGTTATAGCCAAAGTCCCTTGCCCAGTGTATCATTACCGACTTTACTTCCTCGTCTATTAAGTTCCACTCTAGCAGCTGATTGTACATTTTTGATAAAAATTTATAGTCATTATTTATTATCTCCATCTGGAATTTTGACTCTTTTCCTACGTATCCTCTGTCTTTAATATCTTTCCTGGCCACTTCGTTTATTTGGAGATAGTGTAACCAATCAAACACCTTTTCCTTAACCTGATCGTAGGGTTTTAATTTCCACTTCTCCCCTTCTTTAATTAACAATTGTTCATAAGTAATCCAATTATCGCTCATGTTAATTTTTTTAATACTTGTGGCTTCTAATGGGGACATCCAGTGCGGAACCTTGGGTTCCAGTAAAAATCTGTTTCTCTCCCAAACTTCTATTAGAGGGCCTCTGAATATATGGCTTCCAAATCCCTTGTGTACCTTCTTCTTCTCGTAGCATAAATACGCATGTCACCCAAATCTGTTGTCGTGGCCCTCCAGATCCAAGAGTTCTTTATTTTCTAGTTTTATCCATGGTTTTATCCAGCATAAACACGCTGCCTCATAATATAATTTTAAATCTGGGAGTGCGAATCCCCCCCTTTCTTTTGCCTCTGTCAATAATTTAAACTGGATCCTTGGTCTCTTGCCCTGCCATACATACTTCGAGACCTCTCTTTGCCACTCTTTAAATATCCCTGTACCTTTAATTACCGGAATGTTCTGGAATAAAAACAACATTCTCGGCAGTACATTCATCTTGATTATGGCTATCCTGCCCCAGAAAGATAGTTTCAACTTACCCCATGTCACCAAGTCCCTTTTAATCTCTTTCCATACCACTTCATAGTTATTCTTGAATAATTCTATATTTTTGGGGGTCATCCATATTCCTAAATATTTCACTTTTCTAGCCACCTCCATCTCTGTTTGTTGTTTTAGTTCTTCAATTGTGGTTAAATCTATATTCTTTGTCATTAGTTTGGTCTTACTTTTATTTAACTTGAAGCCTGCCACCTTGCCAAATTGTTCTAGTTCTTCCAATACTTCTTTTATTGAGTTCATCGGATCCTCTAATGTTATTAACAAATCGTCTGCGAATGCTTTGACTTTATATTCGTTTCTACCGATTATTATCCCTTTTATCTTTTTATTTTGTCTTAATGAATTTAATAACACTTCCAAAACAGTTATGAACAGCAGTGGAGATAGCGGGCAACCCTGCCTTGTTCCCTTCTCTATCTTTATTTCTTCTGATACCACATTATTTATAATCAATTTCGCTTTTTGCTGCGTATAAATTGCTCTTATTCCATTGAGAAACTCTGTGCCTACCTCCATATATTCTAGATGTTTTCGTAAGAAATCCCAGTTTGTGTTGTCAAATGCTTTCTTTGCATCCACGAAAACCAATATAGCTTGTTTGTCACTCTTGGCCGACAGATATTCTATAATATTTATTATGTTTCTTATGTTGTCCTTCATCTGCCTCCCCGGCAAAAAACCTGATTGATCTCCATGGATATAATCTAACAATATATTTTTCATTCTGTTTGCCAGTATTCCTGTAAAGATTTTATAATCTAAGTTTAGCAATGAAATCGGCCTGTAGTTTTTAACTTGTAATAGGTCTGCATCTTGCTTTGGAATTAATGTTATGAATGCCTCCTTCCATGTTTCTGGTATTTCTCTTTCTTTTAAGATGTTATTTATCACTTCTTTTAATGGTGGCAATAGTATAACTTTCATTTCTTTATAATAACTGGCCGTAAATCCATCCGGACCTGGTGCTTTCCCTCTTTTTAGTTCTTTTATTACTTTTTCTATTTCCTCTGTCTCTATTGGAGTATTCAATTGTACTTTTTTCTTTTCTGGTATCCTTTGAACCTTTTTATCCTTTAAGAATTTTTCTATTTTCCTCGCGTTGAATTTCTCTCTGTTTTTATATAGACCACTATAGTAGTCCACAAATGCTTTCCTTACTTCCTTAGGGTTAGTTTTCTCTTCTCCATCTATTATTATTTTATTTATGGTACTTTGTTCCTTTCTCTTTTTTATCTGCCATGCCAGCAGTTTGCCCGATTTATTTGAGAATTCGAAACTCCTCAGCCTCAATTTTTTGATGTTCCATTCCACTTCTCTATTTATTAGCATCGCAAACTGAGATTGTAATGCTTTAATATTCTCCTTCGCTCTCTGATTATTTGGTTTTTGAATTAACTTTTGTTCATTATCCATTATCTGTTTTAATATCTCTTTTTTCCATTTTTCTCTTCCTTTGTTTTTGATCACGCTTTGCTGGATGAAGAAACCCCTCATCACTGCCTTGCTTGCATCCCATACCACCTTTGTTTTAGTACCTTTATTCATATTGTCCTCAAAATATTCTATTAGCTTTTTCTGAGCTTTTTCACTTATTTCTTGATCATCCAACAGATAGTCTTTTAATCTCCACCTAAAAGTTCTTTCTTCCAGGTCTTTCAGCTCTAATTTTATTGGATTGTGGTCAGATAAGGTTTTAGCTTGAATCTCCACCTTTAAAATTCTTGGAGTTAACTCGTTTGAGGTCCAAATCT